CTCACCTTTTAAAATAATACTATACAAAATCATCATATCATCTTTATAATAATATCATGCAGACATCAACATAAGGACTCCATTATTAATTTCACTTCATTTAGAATATATTTCATTTATTTCTTCACCTAATATTACATAGAGTGATGATATAGAAAATAAAAATTGAAGACAAAAATTTCAAATTATTGATGTAATTTATTCAAATCATTAAATTAATTAATAAATATAATATTATAAGTTAAAAAAAAATTAAGTATTAAATAATATATTATTTATTTTTTAATATTTAAAATAACATAATTTATACTTTTTTATTAATTTTAAATTTTTATTTAAATTTTAATTTCATTTTTTATTATTCTATTCCAAAACGCAAACGGACAAATCACCACCAGACCAGACAGATAATGCCAAGACGGCACCGACCCATTTCCCATTTTCCTGCCAGAAACGATTTCATTCCAGATTTTCTACGAGATTGTGTTCAAATCAATCTTTTCTTCCTCTGTTCTCGAATCTTGAATTGATTTGAAAAGTTTTGAAACAATTTGATATGTCTCAATCAGAGTTCTTTGGAGGACAATTTGAGTTTCTCTTTTTGCGTGTCGATCTCTATGAAACCCGTCGAGCAAACATGTCTCCACTACCAACACAGCAGAGATGGCTCAAACCTGAGGTACTTCATCGCTTCCTTTTATGGGATTCTTTTTTTTTTTTTAATTTATTGAAAGGCTCAGTCTGAATACGATTTTCTATCTGCATATTCTGTTATGAGTTTCTTCTGAGATCTGAAGTGATTTCAATATTAGGATGAATGAATCGAGCTCGACATAGTATGAGATTATGACGGTTCAGGATGTTTCATTTCTTATTTATTTATTTATGCGATAGGTGTATCTGGTGAGAACATCATCACTAATTTCGAAGTGAGTTTCGTTGGAAATGTGAATTAGATTTTGAATTTTGATGCAGAGTAACTGAAGAAAACAGAACTGCGGGAGTGCTGGAACACTTTGAAGAGGGGGAAGAGAGAGATACAAAAGAACATTGATCATGCAATCCATTAACAACAACTCATTCAGGTTTGCTCAAATATCTCCAAACATCTTTTTACTTGGAAATTGCATTGAATATTCTTTCAGGAGATCCTTGTTTTTCGATTTGTACTGCACAAAAAACGTGGAGTCCAATACTAAAATTATCAAAAACATGGTTAATGAATAGATATGAAAGAATTTTATTAAAATTATCAAAACCCGCACTGCAATTTTTTTTTTTTCTTTTTTTGCACATTTCTGTTCTTTTCAGCTACAAATTATATTGAATTGGATGCTTTCTTTTTAGCTTCCACTGGCTTTGAGAAAGTAAACTGTTAATGTCACTTGTGATGTAGAAAAGGAGAGAAATTAAAAAGCAAGGATGAGAGAACAGAAGTGTTACAGTTTAAATAAAATGTAATACAAATTACCACTTATATTGAAAACATAGAAAACAACCTTAATAGTATTAAATTAAGGATTTGCCTAATTTGTACTTTTAAAAAAGTTTTAAATATATTTTTTATGTTTAAATATATATAAATTTAGTATTAATTTCAATATTTATGACACTTGAATATATTTTATTAAATAATTAATAAAATTAATATCAATTTTTAATTTTATTTAATATATTAATGATAAAAAAATATAATAAATACATCTTAAAACACATAATAAGAAAACCCTTAAGTTAATACGATAGTAATATATCTTATGACAAAGAGGCCAATCAATAAGAAGCCAGCACCCACAATCAATAAGAAACCTGCACCACCAAGTTCCCACTGCCTCTATATAACAAGCCAATGCAGTTTTGAGTCCTGCCTTCGTTTAGCCAATTTCAAGTCTCACAGTTTTGTGACCAAATCCTTGAATCCTGTCCATTCCTGATATGCCTTAAATATTTCAGGAGCATCCTTCTCATACTTAACCACGTCCATCCCATCAAAATCGTCCCTTTTCAAAATCAAGGGCCAGACTGTCTGATGCGAGACAGGTTAAGGGTATAGTGTGCTTGGAGATTTAGAGGCTGTTTACCATAAATTTCAAGATGTAAATGGTATGCGTGAAATGTAAATTCAGGATGTGAACAGTATGCATGAACAATGAAATAAGGTTTAAGTTACTGTTTAAGGTATGAAGAAAAGGACAATAACGGCAAAGACAAAAATGTTAAAAGTAACACCTCGGTTTTTCTAGGCATTTTTGTCTTTCTTGTTATTTTTTTCCTTCTTTGTCCCTTCTTCCATTTCCTAAATAGAAACTTAAACCTTATTTTACTATTTGTACACACTGTTCACATCCTAAATATATAGTGAACAGCCTTTAAATCCCGAAACCCACCATACTCCCTTACCTGTTCTGCATCAATTGGAACTAAAGCAAAAGATCGGACACACACAAAAAAATTCCTTCAACTGACATGGGACAAGTTAGAGGGTATGGTGGGCTTGGGATTGAGAGGCTGTTCATTGTAGTATAAGCAATGTGTGTAAATAGTGAAATATGATCAGTCTAGGATACAAAAGAGGAAGAAACAAAAAAGAAAAATAATAAGAAAGATAGAAAATTTTAAAAGTCACACTTAGATTTCTTTAAATATCACACATCACACTTAAAGTTGGTGGTATGATTACATCACATAACCAAAATTGTGTCACACAATCTCAAGAAGAAACTCTCAATGTAAATTTTTGAATATTTTATTATTCAACTCTCTAATGACAAAAGTTTTAAGCATATTTATAATCCTATAATTCCTAAATCAACAAATTAACAAGAAATGGAATTCCTATTCTAATTAGACTACAACTTACATTTACTAAAAATACTAAGATACTTAATAAAACTCTTAAATAAAAAATCCAATCCTAATAAACTAGAAAACGGATAATAACTTGAGATACCACTTGAATAATAATAATAATTCCATAAAAATCTTAAATAATCTAAATAATTCAAATAGTTCTTCCATGTCCACTTCAGGAAAGACAAAAATCCTATCACTATTGAATAACTACTCAATAGCTTCTTATTGTTCCTCATCACCATCTCAGCATAAATTAAAACTCTCAACAACAACCATCTTGGAATTAGCCTGACTTCCAACCTACTAATGCAATGAAGTTAAATGAAGGATATATATATTCTATAGTAAGCAATAGGAGTATCTGTAATGTAACAGTGAGCATGAAGTTTATTGGTCAATTTGATATCTGAGTTCAAGCGTCATTGAAACTAAACATATAGCATTGATCATTTATGTACAACATTAATACAATGTGTCCAACTGTCCATTGCAAAAAAGGGGGTTAGTTTCTTGGGAAAAAAATAAATGGAAGTCGTGGACAGCTTTTTATCGTACCAATTCATTCTCTTCCTCATAACCAAAAGCCAAGTTCAAGACAAAGCATTTTCAGTTCCAGAATTAGCTAAACGGTTCAATCTCACATGCTCAGAGTTGAAATAGGAAAATTCTGGCCAGGGAAGGTGAGAGTTGAATTATGTGCATTGAAACGAATTCCCTTCTCAGTTAACTTGTGAAGAGAGAACCCCACAAGGTCTAATCTAATATGGGCAAAAGTCATCAAATCTCCAAAATTCAGTTTCCTTTATGGCCTGCAAATTTCCCAGGGTTTGCAGAAGCAAGAGGATCCATATATGAGCCCTGAAAAGAAACAGATCCTCTGTATTCATTTACCTCAATTTCCATGGAGCTGAAACACTCCTGTGTTATTCCAACCACCATTATAGCTTCCATTCCACCTCCTGATCTTCATTCACTTCGGTTTGATATATACCATTCTTTAAACTTCATACTTCGACGTTCATATGGATCATCTTAACAGAGTATTATAAGAGAAAGCTTGATGATATTCTTATTGAATCAATTAATATATATACAGGGGGGAGAGGCGTAGATCTAGTGTACATAAACAGAAAGAAACCTATGCAGTAATTAAGAGATACAAAGAATAATATCAAGGATTGAATAGAGAACTATCCAGGATTATGATTAGAACTAGATTCAGTAGAACTTTCCTTAACACTACTCACTACCCCTCTAGGCAGAGTTCTATGGTTGCCCTTGGATGATCTCCACAAGAATTCTGCCACCAACTTTGAGAATGAAGAAGAATTATCCTGAAGTAACTTCCGCGGGCGATCATACTCTATTACTTTGCCTGCATTAATCAAATTGTTTGTAGAATGAGTTAAAATCATAAGGTTGCATTAATACTAGCACATAGAATGAGCTAGCAAGCGATCTTGATCCATTTTGGTTAAGCAGAAAAGAAAATCAGTTCCAAGTCCATTCCAAAATACCTTCATCAAGAACCAAAACCAAGTCATTGTCAATAACAGTTGGTATTCGATGTGCCACTGTAATAACTGTACAGCCACTTGTTTCTTCTCTAATTGTCTCCTGAATCACATTATCTGTGGCTGTGTCAATTGAAGCTGTGGCTTCATCTAATACCAAAATTCTCCTTTTCTTTAGAAGCACTCTAGCCAGGCAAACAAGCTGTCTTTGTCCAACACTCCAATTTTCTCCATCTTCAGCCACTGCACCATTTACTTGATTTCAGCATAAATTTAAGCATATTTGAACTCTACTTTTTAGTTGTGAAATTTACCTGGAGCATCAAGAAGCCGCTGATCCTGTCTCACCAAGTCTGTTAGACGGCACTTGCTGACAACCTGATTATCAGGTTAACTGAGTTAACAGACATAAATAACTATTTTCAGAAAAACCCAAAGTTTTGGTTTTTTACCTTCCAGATTTCTTCATCTGTGTGCTCTTGTAAAGGATCCAGATTGGTCCTCATGGTTCCCTGGAACAATGTTGGATCTTGTGGAATAATAGCCAATCTGGACCTCAGATCCTCCAAACCTATTGTAGAAATATCTACTGCATCAATGAGGACCCGACCACCACAGGGTTCCACCACTCTAAAGAGAGCTTGGATTAGAGTCGATTTCCCACTCCCAGTTCTGCCAACCACTCCAATTTTCTTTTCTCCTGGGAACGTGCAAGTTATACCTTTGAGAACCATAGGAAGGGCAGGAGTATACCTGACCTGAAGATTTTCAAGTTCAATCTTTCCTTCTGTTGGCCATTCACGCTGTGGTCGACAATTGTCAATCACTAGTGGAGCCTCACTTGAAATGTTAGTGAATTGAAGAATTCTCTCCACTGATATCATTTTGTTCGCAACGTTGCATAGGTTCCATATCACCCAAGCTTGAAGAACATTTAAGTTTAGTCCATAGGTGGCTACCAATCCAGCCAAGCCTGGGATAAGATTAAAAAGGAATCAGTTTTAACCATGACACTAAGTTCTGTATAGAAAGAACTTAAGAGAAGATGGAAGGGAAGATCTTACTGGGGTCAATGGCAGACCTGGGCAAGCTCACCAGGATAATTAAAACCAAGAAGAAAACAAGGTTGAATAGAAAGTTGGTTCGAACACTCAGCCATTCCATTGTACCAAAGTTATGGAAGACTACCCGAGAATAATCATCAACCAAGTTCTTGCATTTCTCCAAGAACCTATCTTCTTGGTTGAAACAACGAATTGTTGCAGCTCCCATGACAGATTCAGAGAAGTGATGCAAGATAGGGGCCTTTCGAATCCCAACCATCCTTGCTAGCTCCCTAGCAGTGGAAATATAATAAGCCTGCAGAAGGTTTGGAATGGTTAATTAGTGAAGAACAAAAATCATAAAGTTTCTTGGTCGGGCAAAGTGTTAATACGACTAAAAACTTGAAATGGATTTTGTTCTTGCCTGATACCAAATGGAGATTCCAAGGATGGCAAGGAAGAGAAGGAAGACCTGCCAGGCGACCCAGGACATAAGAATGATTATACTTAACAACTGAATTAGTGCAAATGCAAGTCCCGCTAATCTGTACGGAATGTCTGTGTCTAATGTGCTTTGATCTGTAGAAGACTGCAACATGCAAAAGACAAATGATGATTAATTTCTGAAATATATAGATAACATTAGGGGAAAAGAGCAATGGAACTTATTCACCACAAAAAACTAACCCTGTTCAGAATTCGACTTGATGGTGTGGAGTCAAAGAATGAAATTGGTGCACGAAAAACTGATCTTATCATGCCAAGGAAAAGGCGTTGAGCAGTCTCAACTGCAATAGTTGCTAGTAGAACTGCTCTTCCTAGTACAAAAGTGGAGCTTCCACCTGAGAGTAATATAAATACCACAATTAATTGCTCTCTATTCACGTTGTGCTTTTCCTCCGTTGCCCAAGCAATCCAGAAGTTGCTGGCCATTTGTAGCCACTGGAAGAGGACTTGACAGAGAAGGATAACTGGAACAAGAGCTCCTTTATAAGCTGAAGAGACAAAGGTCGAGTAAACACTGAATTTTACACGACCTGTTTGTGCTTCTTCTTCATTACAACTATCTAAGGTCTTGGTACAGCATGTGGGCTCCCGGTGTTTCTCTTCTGTGACCTCATTTTGATTTAAATGACATGGTTGAACAGTCAAAGAATTATCTTCTTGCGGCTGCTTCACTTGGTCTAGTGACTTTCTATGGGCAGTTATTTGTCTAACAAGTTCACCAGTATGATCAGCTATCAAATCTTCATATTTTCCAGACTGAACAATGATTCCATCTTTCATCACCTACAAGAATGCGTACACACATATAAGAGAGAAACATACGAGACTATGGACGACTCTTCTGCAGTTGTTAGTATTTATAATCTAAAATTCCAGTTTCTCACCAGAACAAAGTCTGCGTCATTTAAAAATTCCAATTGGTGTGTGGCATAAATGACGGTCTTCTGGGCCAACAATTCCATGAGACATTTCTGCAGAAGATGTTCAACATTTCTGAAAATTTATCCAAGAATTTGAACACACAAAGCAGTCTAAAAGAAAGATGAGATGTTTCTGACCTTGAATAGGTGTGTTCCTGTATGAGCATCTACTGCACTGAAAGGGTCATCAAGGATATAAACATCAGAGTTGCTATAGACAGCCCTTGCCAACTGAATCCGTTGCTTCTGTCCTCCACTCAGGTTCGTTCCTCTCTCTCCCGCCATGGTCATGTCACCTTCAGCCCACATCTCAATATCTTGGTTCAGAGCACACGCATTGAGAACATCTTCATAAAAAGCTTTATTCATATGCTGTCCAAACAATACATTCTCTCTTATGGTGCCTGTTTGAATCCAAGCTCTTTGAGGAACATAAGCCTTTTTCCCAAAAACTTTAATTGCCTCTCCAGAAATCCTAGGGATCTCTCCAAGTATGCTGCAGAGGAGGCTCGATTTACCTGACCCCACCGAGCCACAAACTGCAATCTTGCAACCTTTCAATATTTTCATCTCTGTAATTTTAATAGTTGGCTTCTTCAAATTCTGGGAACTTGTTTCCCATGCATATTCCCCAGTCTCTATTTCAACTGCAACATCAGATGCTTCAGGAGTAGGGTTAGGTATCGACTTCTGTTGATCTTCTTTTCCAACGAACTCTTGGATACGATGAATTGAGACTTTGGTTTGAGCAACCATGGAAAGAAGCTCCGGTAGGTTGTAGATGGGTTCTTGTAGAATTCTGAAGGTTGCTAGAGCTGCAAGTACCTTAGCCGATGTTAATGATGTGTTTAGCAAGATGCATATACCAAATGTGACGACTGATACTAGAGTTGGTGAAGCCCAAAAGAGGAAGGCAATTGCTGAACTTGTGTATAGGTATCTCTTGAGCCAGTTTCTTTCTATTTCTCTAAGGTCGGTGAGTTTTTTCTGGAATTTTGATTCCCATGAGTGCAGTTTCAAGACTCTCATACTCTTTAAGATCTCAGAAGTCGCTTTTATTCTTGAATCCTTTGATTCCATGATCTTCGAGTGAAGTCTTTCTTGCCTCCTGGCTAATGGTGTGTTGCTCACCATAACAAGAACTGTAGTAAGTAAAGCAGCAATAGATGGAGCTGCACCCAGATTCCTATAAAGGATGAACAGAGCTAAAAAAACTTGGAGTGGCAGCAACCAGACCCCATGAATGTGCCAGCAAAAGTCACCAATTCTCTCAACATCCACGTTGATCAAATTTGTAATTTTACCATTGCTGGGACCAACAAACTTGATCGAGAGAGATTTCTCATAAATCAACACTGTTAGAGCCGCTCGAACTCGTATTCCAATGCGTTGAGCACCAAAATACCACTGTCGTTGAGTTAGTGACTCCACTGTCTTTGCAAAGAAGAAGATGAACGCAAGCATAAGCCCATAATTGTGGCTTGAATTATCATGCTTGTCTGATAGGAAATTTACGAAGTTGGTGATCAAAAGGGGCCCAATATAGGAGGCAGTTGTATTAAGCCCTTCAAGAAACAAACAGAAGCGTACAAAATTAAAAATCTGCAGCATCAAAGAATCTGAAAAGAGAAAAATTTTCGAGAAGAATATACGTACCTGCAAAAATCGCATTCAGAGCAAGTGATTTACATACAGCATGGCTTAATGCTTTTGGCACCGAATAGGCTTCCTTTTTCTGCATACTAATACATTGTTCAAGCAATGCCGAGGCATTTTCTGCTGTTTCAGATTGAGGAACTGAAGGAATATGATGTAACTGAAGTTTTTCGACTCGACCCTTCTTAAAAAGGGGATTTAGCCATAGGAAAGTGAGTTTGCCCCAGATGCCGGTATTTGTGAAAGTACTATTACCTCTAGAAGAATCTTCATCTCTTTTTTGAAGAAGAGGATGTTCAAGATCTCTAGCATTCATAAAACATTTAACGGGTAAAGTGTTTAAACAAAGAAGTGCAGACAAAGGCAGGGAAGCAACATCAACAATGCTCGCTTCGGGTAAACGATAAAGTAATTTAACTGAATCCAGATGGTGGATGAGGTAAATGGACACCAAAATTGCATCAAAAATGAAGAAACTCACCCACCAAAGAACAAGCACCAAAGGCCAACTTGTGTTTTTTGAATAGATCGCAACTACAGTTGCCATAACCCAAGTGGCTGCAGAGCAGACAGAGCTTAAAGAGACAACCAACCCATGATTCCAGTAAACATAAGCTCCAAAACCCATGTAAAGGACAGAGATGGTAACGTTTGAGAGAAGAGTGATGATCCTAAAAAGCTCAAATCCCCTAACTACTCTATACTCCAAATGTATCTCACAGTCATTTTCAAGCCTCCTACGTTTCAAAATGTCCAGCAAAACCCATGTTAGCAGCACCAAGAAAAATGCTCCTTTTACAACCTCCAACAAGATATCCATCCTTCCCACACCAAGCTTGTCCTTGCACAATCAAATACCAAAGAGAAAGAGCAGAAGAACTCAAACTATTAACAATGACGGCCTACAGGCAATTAGGAGCTCTATTAGCATGACAAATTAAAAAAAATAAGAAATAACTAGATAAGAAAATAGAAACAAGACTGAAAACAAAAATACCACCACGGTGGTTGAATTGATTGAAAAAACAGGAAATGCAGAGCTGAGAAGGAGTGAAGAAGCTAGCACGTGGCTTTGTAAGGGTGGTGACGAGGAAGGGTCGGAGCTTTACACCTAATGGGCATTTGTAAGCATTTAAATAACTCCAAAGCTCCTCCTAGGTTCCAGAGAATGAAAAAAAGCTTATAGATGCGAGCGAATAAAAGGTAAGCATATCCCAAACGAACAAGCTAAAATCATTAACTTTTCCATTAACACTATTATAATAATAATAATAATAATAATAATAAGTTATCTAATAAAAAAATCTTAGTATTAAAAAATTTGCTCCTATCTAATGCCTAAAATTATACCATTTTAAAATAATTCAAACTATATAATATTTTTTTAATAATAATAATAATAATAATAATATTTTTCTTGAGTAAAAATCCACGAACATTCCTGGAGAATATAAAGATGATATTTCTTAGGTACAATCGCCACAATTGACGATAACAGTAGTCGTCAGCCAACCAAAATGTGCTCATATTATATTAATGAACAGGGGAATTTGTGGAATCTGGAATCTTGACACTAGCTGGAGTGGTGATTGTGTCATGGTGAGTCGTTTTTATTACACATTATTATACAGACTCCAATGACTTTGAAATTTCAATTTTGGAGACTCGGTGGACATTATGTCGACATAGGAAGAACACCGTATGAAATAGAGTTTCTATTTTATTCTAGTTAACTGCGAAAAAAATAGTCCCTGAACTTTATTTGGTTATATTGATCTGGTACACTTAAATAAATTTAATTTCTTTGGGTATTACTCTTAAGATTTAATTCCCAAAACTCACTTGAAAGATGATATTTACTTATTAATAAATCTAACCCTTAGAGTTGTTATCTATTATTTTATAATCCAAAGGTAATGATATTAATTATTTGCAAGAAATCATATTGAGTTGGAGTTTAAATTCAAGCTTAAATCCGGGTATACTACTGCATAATTTATTAGGAGAAAGAGCAGAAGATAGAAAAGGAGGCAGAGAAAAGAGAGTAGAAAAAAATGAAAAATAGAGAGAGCCCAAAAAAAAAAAATTATAGAGTTCAAAGGGTACTGAGATTTTCGAGTTTAAGGAATCAAAGGCAAAATGGAAGTTCGAATTTGTATTCCGTAGCAGAAAGTTACTGCCAAATTTATGTATTTTTAGCTTCTGTTCATTTTATGTAAATCACATATTGATATTGAATTAGAATTCAAGTTTGCTGCTAAATTCACCGTAAAAAATAAATAAATAAATAAATAAATTTCTTAATTTATCAACCGAAGTTTGCACCCTGTCGTGCACAATTGCCATGGTTCATACCATGGTTTAAGTCCTTGTAATAACATTCTTCATTCCCCTAATTTTCTCATCTTCAAAAGAAGAACAATTACCACTATTGCTCAATTTAAAGTGATGTACGTAGAAAAATATTTGATCTGAAAAAGCCTCACTGCACCGACAATATTATACATGCACTCCTAACAATTAAAAACATTTTAATCTTTGAAGTAATGGGAAACAGTATTGAAAGTAAAACCAATTTTGATACTTATAAAGAGAAAAAGAAACTTGGGTGTTTTGGAGATGAAAGATAAGAAGCGAGAAAGGA